GCAGTGCCATCAGCACCAAACCAGTGGGACCCAGGTACACCCATCTACTCTGCGGAGAAGTCCGGCCAGAAGTGGTCTTCATGGAAGAATTACGGCCAAAAAGCCATACGTCTGACGTGGAAACAAGGCTAAGTGACTCAACTATGCCTGAAAACATAAGAACTGGTGTACAGAAAAATGGCAGCAGGTGCTCTGGCCTGATGAGTCAAAATTTGAAATTTTTGGCTGTAGCAGGAGGCAGTTTGCCAAAGGGCTGCAGAACAGTGCAATAATTAGTGTCTGCAGGGAACAGTGAAGCATCATGCAAAGAAATATAAGCAGATACTTATCCATCATGCCATACCATCAGGGAGGTGTGTGATTGGCCCCAAATTTATTCTGCAACAGGACAACGACCCTAAACATACAGCCAATGTCATTAAGAACTATTGTCAGGGATCTGAACACCTCCAGGTGGCGCTGGACCAGATCCAGCAGTTCCAGTGCTCCCCTGCAGGTGTCTCCAGGCAGCCAGTGGCTGTCAGGGACCTGCACGCCTCCAGGTGGCACTGGGACTCTGGAACCAGGTCCACTTCCAGGGCTCACCTGCAGGTGTCAGCAATTAGGCACCTGGGAGGGTATTTAATCCCTCCCTGCAGTGAGCCTGGTGCCACATTATCTTTGCCATTTCCTGTGAGCTGTATTCTGTGACCTGATTCCTGTGACCTGTTTCCTGCATCTTGGTGCCCCCTTGTACCCTGACCATTGCTCCGTGGCTCCCCTTGTGTTGCCGTGCTCCCCAGGTTTCACTTGCCCTTTTGTATGCGGTTTTGTTGACTGCATTTAGTTGGTTATTGTTTGATACTTGTGGGTGTTGGTGGGGTTGTTTGTGGTTACTTGATTTCGGTGTGCCTAATAAACTGTGTGCTCATAAACATTGTCTGGTGTGATCACACATTTGGTCCTCCCGTAGAGATGCCTGTACGCGGTGTGGGGACACCCGTGCATGGTATCTCTGACAACTATCGTCAGCATAAAGAAGAACAAGAAGTCCTTGAAGTGATGGTTTGGGCCCCACAGAGCCCTGATCTCAACATCACGGAGTCTGTCTGGGATTACATGAAGAGACAGAAGGATTTGAAGCAGCATAACATCCACAGAAGATCTGTGGTTAGCTCTCCAAGATGTTTGGAACAACCTTCCTGCCGAGTTCCTTCAATAACTGTGTGCAAGAGTGCCTAGAGGATGCTGGTTTGAAGGCAAATGGTGGTCACACCAAATATTGATTTGATTTGGATCTCTCTTCTGTTCATTTACTTTCCATTTTATTATTTGATTAAAAAAATAAACTATTAACACTTTTTTTTTAAAGCATTCTTACTTTACACTTATTATTTAAAATAGGCTTCAACAAGGTAAAGATTAAAAAATGGTATTAACCTGTAGTTAAACAACCTGATATTTCTTTCAATCTTCCCTCCTGCCTTATTGTAAAGGAATAAAGATTTATATGTGCACATAATATTATTTACAAGTACTATTTTGCTTTTAGGTCAGTGTTTTGAAATTAATTTACATTCCTCTTAACCACATTCTAGTCTTCTAAAACAGATAGACAGTTGATCAATGTTTATATAGATCAGAAGACATTACATAGGCTGGCTATCTATTGGTCTTTAGTGACATCTAAGTGTGCTTAAAGATCACTTAGTCAATGGTCTTCTTTGAATGGCAGGTGGATTTATAAATATAGAACAGGAGAGCGCAAGATCAGCAGCTGCTGGCTGTTTTTGTCCCATGGAACAGTCTCTGATGTAACTGACAGTGTGTATGTTGGCACAAACAGCCTTCAAGCAAGAAAGACACTCTTCCCTTCTGTGCTCGTCAGTCTGGTCTCCAGGGACTCCTTACTGCTCCTTGGGAAGGCACTTGATTGCCAGCTGTAGGTAGCTGTCAATGTACTATTTCTGAGCTTCACAGAATTTCTTACCCTCCGCAAGGACTTTGTAAGGACACTGCCCTGATTCCCATATCAGGTTAGTTAAATATACTTTTTTTTCATTATCTCAGAATGATCAGCTTCTTGCATGAATATGAGCATTCTTACTAACTAATTTATAATAAAAGTAATTTTACAAGTTTGTGTATTCCTTCTTATTTACTTAAGCTACAAATTAATTGAGTTACTTTACAACTGCAAATTTACTTTGTATAACTTACTATCTAACTCAATACCTTTTATTTAAAAAAGAAACAATCTCATTACATAATGCTAAGTAACATGAGACAAAAGTTTCTTTGATGAAAACTTCTGGTATAATAATTACATGCATGGTTACAGGTCAGATATTCTTAAACTGCAATTTATGAAAGATTCCTTAGAAGATGAGGGATACACCTAGCTCTCAGGCCTCCAGGTGGATAGCCCTGACATACTCAGCTATAAATACTTCCATAGGTCAAAGAAAACAGCTTCTATTGTTGTTTTATATAATATTATAATTATGGCTGTGCCATGCCATAATAGTAGCATCTTACCTGCTGAACTGGGGTCAAAAGTAAGCACTTTTCAGCATTTATTTGTTTTGTTATTTTGCTTTCATTTTTACATGTAATAAAGTGATGGAACATGACATATAGGGGTTAATTAAAGTGACACTAAACTATATCTTAAAAATGCATTCAAGTATGTAACAACTTATAAACAAAGTAGCTCACCGATTAACAAAACTGTATCGTATTTGTGTATCACTCGGCTGTAGAGCCTCATATCATCTCTGAATTGGTGCTGATACTGTCCTTCCTTCTGGAGGGTGGCTACTTTTGTTCCCCATGGGCCCTGTGTGTGTTGTAAAGTAGCCACCACTCAAAGCTCACTCCCATGATGGACTACAGTCACATGTTTTCTAGTTTACTCATTTGTATTGAGATTGTAGTCCATCACAGGTTGAGCTTACCACCCACCAGTAGGAAGGACAGTGTCAGCATTAACTCAGAGATGATTTGAGGATCTACAGCCGAGTGATACACAAATAAGTTAGAGTTTTGTTATTAGTGAAGGTGCTTGAATGTATTTTTAAGGTTTAACTCTGGAGTTTAGTGTCACCTTAAAGGAAAATAGGCTGTTCACTTTCAAGTGATCTTTCCTTTAGCTAAGTGAACGTGGGGGAAAATTCACTGTGCAAAGAATACCCAATCACATGCAAGAGAAAAAAAACTGTATTTTTGCTTGCACATAACTGGATGATGGAAGTCAGCAGAGCTTCACCTCATTCGCTACATTAGAGAGAAAGAGAAAATGTCCTTGTAAAGTGAACAGCCTATTTGCCTTTAGAGAATCAATCTCATAATCCTAAGGGATAAATCATGTACTATGATGTTCCTATTGAGATGAAAATCATGTTCTTTTTATCCTGAGCAGCATAAACAAGATCATGAAATGACAAAGTACAAACCGTTCCAGCTGAAGTAGTCTAGTTTACCATGTTCAAGACTGTTGGTTTATCACAGATCTTATTTAACCCCTTAGTGACACAGCTTAAAAAAACATTTTCGCTTCTGGGGACCGGAGAAATTTTGCCATTTTTGCTATGTTTTTTTTTTAGACTATAATTTCCATCTTCCCCATGCATTACACCTACACATATTATATACCATTTTTTAATGGACAAAAGGGCTTAAATTTGATGTGACATATGCATATATAAATTCTTATTTGTTTTGTAAAAAATAAAAAAAAAACATGTTTTCACAGTTTTGGCAATAATAATGTGGCAAACATGTTCATGTTTGGTGTAGCTAACAGAAAGTAATTTATAAGAAATTATTTTATTTGTTTGATTTATAGGTTATATCATATATGTCTGGGATTTCAGTTTATTTTGGCATTTATAGGTCACAAAATACAAGGAGTGAAATATAATTTTAGTGTGGAAGAATTTTAGAATGTGATGTTTTTCTCCTACCTTTAATAGCCTCCACGGCACCATATTTTCTTATAATTTTGTTTATTAAATTTTTTAAAATATTTTCAAAACTTTATTTTTTTATTTTTATTTTTTATTTTTAAACTAGAGGGCACTAAGCGGTTCTTTTTTTTAATTTACAGGAGCTTTGATAGGTAGTATCTCTGAGGAGAATACACTATTCTCCTCAGAGATACTTTGTATCACTTTTGTAACACACAGCCGGCTAGCTGTTTACAAAACAGGCTGTGTGACTGTCACGGCTCTGCTATCACAGCGATCAGCACAGTGACCACCTAATCTGCTGTTGAGGGTCTGCCTCGGACACAGAGAGACCCATCAACAGCAGTAACTCAATAAACTGCAGGTCCCTTCATGGACCAGCGCTCATTGTACCGATTGGCGGAATAAACCCATCACCGGTCATTAACGAACTCAACAATCGTGACGGGATAATTAATCATCGGTCGGGAATTGGTTAAATATAGCCATTTAAAATGGTCAAGTCAGCTTCATGTGCAGGAGTGGAGACACTCCGTTGTTACAGAGTTCTAATTACAGTTATTTTTGATTTATGTAAAATTGTACTAACCATGTACTTACTGTATATATATCAATATCAAGCCCAACCCCCTCCCCCCAATTTTTTTTTCTAATTATAGATGGTAGAAGGAATAGAACTCTTGCTGGGTTTTTTTTTTTTGGTGTCCAGGGCTCCACTAGAGACTTACCCTTGTTTCCTGTTCTCCGATAGCACCACAGACAGAAATAAAAATGCGTTTTTAGTAGAGTGGGTTAGGGCTAGAGCCCCTGTCAGATCTATCTGTGTCCCTGCTGCAGATTTTGCCTCACCTTCTGTCTGGTAAAACCATTGTCAGAAGTACAGGAAATCAGGGCAAATATCTCTAAAGAAAAGCCATGTAAAACTAAAAAAATTGTTTTGTCTTGGATTACAGTATCTCATACCTTTATTTGTATTGATTGTCCATTTGTGAAATGGCTTTATTCAAATACATTGTATTATTGTATCACATCTTTCAGGAGGAACATGACAAGATGACTGTTACCTATTCCAGTAAAGTAGCTAATGCCACGTTCTTTGGTTTTCACCGGTTACTGCTGAAATGGAGGGGCAGCATTTACAAGTTACTCTACAGAGAGTTCCTTGTGTTCATCAGTTTATATACAACACTGAGCGTCGTATACAGGTACTTTTTTATTTATATCCTTCATTGGAACATTATGACAGTGAACAGTGCATACTGACATGCATGCTGACAAAACTTTATGAACAATATACAGTTTTGTGATGTGTTACCTAGTGAAATTTTACTTTTTAAATAGCTGTTTACATTTTTATGGTAAAGTTTAACACTGCATAAATCAATCACTCCAATTGGTTAATAACACTATGCAATAATCTAAACTATGGGGAATCTTTGCTAATACATGGAAAACATGGTCTGGCTTTCCAAGTAGGCACTGTGCCTAAGGCCCATAATGGGCCATACGTGTGAACAGAATTCTAGCAGTGTGAGATGGTTAAAAAGAACTTGTGTTAATGCAATAAAATAGTTCCTCGTATAAACAAGTAACTTACATCAATTTTGGAAACCAAACTACCAGAGTACATTAGATATAATCCAGATGTGACCCTAGATGACCACTTATGTGACTCTGCATTTGAAGTTCAGCTCAGCATCAAATTTCTTGTTTATGAAGTCTTGAAAAACACTTCACCACCCAGTGACTTTTTATGTCACTACCAGGTACATGTGTAGTATGTCCATCAGGGAATATAGAGTTTCCTGCTGACCCATACTTCCCTAGAGTATTCCTAAACTATGCTAGTTATTCTGACTGGTGTAATGCTTGCTTAGCATTTGCAGTCATGTCTCAGACTTTTCTTAGTTTCATCACATGACTTGTCCTTCTAGTTGGATTATAATTTCCTTGGATAATGTCCAAGTTGCTCACCATTTTTTTGTAATTATATATAATATTTCATTTTATTTTATATCTTCATCTTATAAATGATTACAGGAAAAATGGCTGCTGCAATTCTGCTTCCTTAGTGAATTTTACCACACACTGCTGATTGGACAATTAAGTAGCAGCGGCACACTGATGAGATCATACCTGCGTTCTCCCCTCCTGTAAACATGTTTAATGTTAAGTTAACAGCATTGTAGAGGCAAGCAGTAGAGCCCTGACTGGATGAGGGTAATATTTCTCCCGCTACCAATGTGATTACTGATCGTGTGTTTTTAAATATTGGAGTTCAGCTTTAACAATGTTGCCCTCTCTAGTATTATAAACTTGAAAATGTGATTCTTGTGTGAAAATGTGACAATGTTGGCAGTTACCAGGGCCTCCTTCCTCCTGTTTGGGCCCCTCCAAATGGTGGAATGCAAGGCACTGGTCGCAGCTGCGACCGCTATGACCCTGTTAGTCACTGCATAGAGGACTACAAATCCCAGCAATAAATTATACAGCAATGCAGAATACCACCAGCTATAGAGGACTATAAATCCCAGCAATAAATTATACAGCAATGCAGGATACATGCCACCAACTATAGAGGACTACAAATCCCAGCAGTACATTATAGAGCAATGCAGAATACCACCAGCTACAAGGCCTGCCTGTACCAGTCTTCACCCTCTCCTGGACCCCCTGTGCCAGTCTTCACGCTCTCCAGTCCCTACATTCTATCGCCATGGCAACCCCCCGCCAATCACAGCGAGCTGCCGCTACTTCCCAGTCCCCGCCCACTCCGCTGGGTGTGTCGGCTGTGTGCGGGAGGGGCAGAGCGTGCGAGAGGGGGGTATTGCATTTGGGGACATAGGCATCAAACACTTCCAAAAGTATTGAGTACAAAAGAGTCTAACAGAGGCTACAGATGTGGCATGAAAGGAGGGTAGGAGACACGGGCCAGCTGAGAAGTGAGTGTAATATCTTCTGCTGCAGAGAACCACTTTTAGGACTGACAGGGTCATTTTAAATGCAGGTTTTACATTTATGACTGTAGTAACTGTTCTGTAAAATAAATTGATATATTTTGGATATGGTATCAGTTTAAATGTATGTTTGCATAGGTAATACGCATTAATTCCTTTATTTGCATTGTATATTTTCAGTAATGTATACAGCAGTTAAAATTTTTTTTGCTATTGCTGGTGTACATTCACCTTATTTCTGCTGCAGATTGTTTCTTACAGATACTCAAAAACGTTACTTTGAAAAACTATCCCTTTACTGTGACAAATATGCTGAACAAATCCCAGTAACATTTGTTCTAGGTAAGTGGCTGCCACCAGGGGCAAAAGCCTGCACATAACTTTTATCAGTACACTTTAAAGGAGAACTATGAGATGAGGGATTTCCACTCACCTCATAGTTCTAAGCCGACCTGTGACAATGAGACTGTCACAGGTCGGCTCAGTAGATCGGGAGGTGAGGGAACACATACCGGGTTCCCTCACCTCTCGATCCTGTCACGGCTCTCTGCCGTGACAGGGGGAGGGGCTGGATTCCCCTCTCCCCGCTCCGATCTGCCAGCGCGGACTGGCGGAACGGACGGGGGAGGGTGCGGGTACAGCTGGCTCTGCCTCTAGATAGGCAGAGCCAGCTGTCACTCACGCAGCTGGGCGGATCCCGTCATCTACGTCGAGATCCACTCCAGGTGCGGCGTCTCAGTATACGGCGAGCTGTAGCTCGCGGTATACTGAGCTTAGGGTAACGGGAGGACGCTAGTTTGTGTCCTCCCATTACCCTAAGGAGAACTATGGGGAAAAACACTGACCCCATAGTTCTCCTTTAAATGCAACTGACCCTGACCACAGCAACACTGATTGGAGCCTCTAATAAGAAAGCAGTTATGTGAGCTCAAACTAAAGTGGTCCATAGACACTTTTTAAACAAATGGCCAATTCACTGTCCATCACCCCGGGGGCAACCTCAGTATTTTACAAGCTGACTACAAAAACAACAGTAAAACACATAATACCTTATGGAGGGGCTCACAATCCAAGAGGATTCTTGGAAAAGGAGTTATTAGATGATAATGAGTTATCAGATGATTACCTGATAACTAATTTTCCAAGAATCCTCATATGTATGGAATTACTTTCTTGTGACAAAGTGAGGAATTTTTTTTTGACTAAGAGTAGAGAGATTATACTCTCTCCTATAGCCAATGAGAGCATGGTTACCACTATTCCAGCAGATGGCAGAGGAACCACCAAGGACCTTCTCTTGCAGGAGAGACCTTTTTTCTTAATGTCGGATTCTTTACCCTCATCTTCAGGAACTATACTTGGCAGCATGAATCCTGAATGGAAGATCCCTAAGAACAAATGATTGTCAAATAAGATAATTTCCACTCTCTACACAGGATCGCTTAATTCTACAAGGATGCACAATTCTTTAAAGGACCAAGAATAGATGTATAACATAAAAAGTATACATCAATCATTTATGACAATACCAGTCTTGGAAAGCAGTTATAGGATATTGTTAAGCACATGTTGTTATTTGCAATGCTTTCAACAAAGAGGTATTAAGGCAGAATGGAGCCCTAGGCAAGGTAGCAGCATTTAGCTACCCCACCAATTTTATTGACATTAATAAGGAATTTAACAGGCACATAACACGAACTGCCTACATGTAAAAACAAAAGCAAGAAAGTGCCTTTCCCTTGTGTGATATTATTTCAACAATAAAACATTTTATTAAAATCACATAAATCTACGGTTATGTATAAATCTACATAAATTATATATATCTGCGGTCACCATGAGATTTGCATGACTACGTTGCTGTACTGTATTGAAACATGTTGCTGTAAGCTAAATGTGAGTAGGTGCTTCTTGCTTTTGTTTTGACATGCTGTGTGGAGGGAATCCCGTACTCTTTATGGAGAGCAGCCATCCTTGGTGAACTTTGTGTTTGTGGGGTAAATACATTTCCTGTTGCTGCGAGTGCTGAAGATCTGCAGTGATTGTAGAGTAACTGCCTACAAGTCAGGGATGTCAGGGGAGGCAGGGGAGGCAGAGCCTCATATAGTATTATGGAGGAAAAAGCTGTCAGCTTCAAGTTTGTATCCTGACAGCTTGTTCTCCATTCAGACCAGCTTGTAACAGGTTACACAGCAGTGAAAGCCTCCCCACTGAGTAACCTGTCATGGACAGAGCGCTGCCTGTTAATTACAGGCGGTGCTGCATCCGGCTTTTGACAGCTAAGTTAGGATACACAGCAGCGGGCTTCCCCCACTGGTTGTGTAACCTAACCTAGTGAGGCAAGAGCTGCAACAGCTCCTACTCTATGTTAGAGGCTTGAGCTCTGTGGAAGATTTGGACCAATGTCAAAGCGCAATTGGTCCAAGCTGTCCAATCAAAAAAAAAAAAACCCACTGCGGACATTGATCTCGATGCCTCACCAGTGACGACCAAGTGAGAGACAGGGAGGTACCTCCCTGTCTCCTCCCTCTCTCCACATATAGCTTGCTGACCGGGTTAAGGTGGGTGGGGCTTTGGTGGGCTGGGACGGGGCGTGCTGGGGGTGGGGCTGGGGCAGGCAGGGAGAATGCTTCACCCAGCATGGAAGGTACCCCCCGCCACTGCTACAAGTGTATCCTCTCTTGTGAAATGAGAGGCAGGCAGTTGCACAGCTTTTACCAACTGCCACCCTGGAGGAGCATAAAGATTGTATCTGGGGCCCTTGGACATTCACTGGGCCTGGCCAATTTTCCTTTGTATATGGTCTGGTTCTGGCTTTCAATTCAGAATTACTTTACATGCATGTAATCTCTTCTCCTGGATATCCCTCAGAAATGGAGGTAGATATAATTAGAACAAAGAGGAAAAGAGATACATTTTTAACGCCAATGTATCTGTACATACAGCTCAATGTATACACCAAAGGCCCCTCAGGCCTGGTTCACACCTGGGCATTTTGCATCGCGTTTCACTGAACGGAATAACGCGCTAAAAACGCGAAAGAAAACGCTCAGGTGTGCGCCAGTGAAACGCGCGTTTCACTGAACGGAAAACGCGCTAAAAAAACACGAACAAAACGAGCTGAAAAACTAGCCGAAAAAACACTCAGGTGTGAACCAAGCCTCAGGGTTCCTGCAGACATTTGTATGTGCATCTTGGTTTGAATAAAGCAGCTTTTCTCATTGGTTAGTCAACTCTGATTTATGAACTTTTTAGTTTAAATGTTGTGCAATTGTGAATGCTATTTACTTTATATACATAAATGCCTTTGATTGTCTTGCAGGTTTTTATGTTACTCTTGTGGTGAACCGGTGGTGGAATCAGTTCGTGAATCTTCCATGGCCAGACAGACTCATGTTACTCATCTCCAGCAATGTGCACGGAAGAGATGAGCATGGACGGCTACTTCGCAGGACACTCATGCGTTATGTGAATCTCACCTCATTACTTATCTTCCGTTCAGTCAGCACTGCAGTGTACAAACGATTCCCAACAATGGACCATGTTGTAGAAGCAGGTAGAAGAACTGCATTTTACTTACATTTGGATGCTGTAAATGATCTAGGTCTTTTGCTTGCAGCTCCCATGATCTGCACCTAAAATATGCAATAGTGAAATTAAGGATATTGACAGATGTTTCGTGTCCCTATTCTCAGACATACTTTTTGATATTAGGCTTTTTCACATAAATACCAAAAACCATTTCTCCCAAACTGCATGTTAATGTTTACCCCAATTATTTGTTGCCAAGCAACCGGTTTGCATTATCCTCGGTCACTGCTACTTGATTTCTATTGTATTTGGTGTTTTTAATTTCTTAAGTTTTTTAGTTTTTCCTCTTCTCTTCTCTTCTCATGCCTTGCATTTTATTTTGAAGCTTCTTATTGTACCCCTTCTAATGTTAACCACTGCATTATGCTGGAGCACTATAAATAAAGGATAACAATAAATATAGTTAAAAAAACACCATAAAATCCCAGCTCATTAGACACTTGGCATACAAGAAGAAATATTATTGATATAAGCTAGATATTGCACCTTTATCTTGGCTACCAATGTACTTTGCTTGCTTTTAGGACCAATCTTTCTGTTTTGTTGACCACAAGCTCTCCAGTATATGGCTATTAACTCAGTGCTTGTCTAGGTTCAGAGTTACTAATTATCATTATAATACTACTTAAGCTATATATATTTATTTTCTTTGTTTTTAAATAGGATTTATGACAGCAGATGAGCGAAAAATATTTGACAACCTTCAATCTCCTCACCTTAAGTACTGGGTACCAGTTGTCTGGTTTGGAAATTTAGCTTCAAAGGCCAGGTCTGAAGGAAGAATTCGTGACAGTGTTGATCTTCAAATAATACTGAATGTGAGTCAGAAGCATATATGAAAGCCAAACCGGCTATTGATTAGCATGTTCTGTATGAACCGATATTATGTAAGTGCATTTTGTGTGACTCCTGGCTGCTTTCTTTGTGGACAACAAGTGAAAAACAAGTGCAAAATCTAGTTTTGCTTGGTTGCATGGGACATATTCTTGCATTTATCTGATAATCATCTTATCTTCTCCAGCAGTGTCAAATTCTAAATCTTTATAGAGTGTGGCACTAAAAAAGATGTTTCTGCATAAAAAAATTGCTTTCAGCCATAAAATAGTTCCACGATTACACAAATAATTTTCTGTGCTGCTTGGCTATGCTCCTGTTCTGTATCACATTTTATTTAGAAGTGCTGTTGTCACATTTTTCTTTGATTTGGATCATTAATAATTAATCAAGTACGGGGGAAGGCCGAAGGACATATCTGCAGTAGGGAGGACGCACAAACACCATGACATGTAGGACAGCAGGGAAAGCCAATGTCAATCATGTAAAGCAAGGTTCACCAGGTGATGTAGCAGCATAGCTGACTACAGTCACACTGTGAGTCGGCAATTCGGCTGGCATTTTCTACTAAATGAGTGTGTCTGCATGCATAAATCCAATATGCTTTAATTAGGGGAATTGTATAAACTGACAACTTGGAAAATCAAGTGATTTGACTTGTTTGTGAGTCCTGTGTCATCATTAAAACACTCTTGCAACATCATCAAATGCCTATCTATTTCTATTTCCTCATGGATAACATAAGAAAGTTAGCAACCTTCCACTTAGCTTCTCAGGCTAGTAGAGTGGATCAGAAGCTTATCAAAGCTCAACTGAATTAGAAAAGATGATACATCCAAAGCTTTCCATATTGACAGTTTATATTGTTAGACATGTACTGCTTGAGTTTAATAATGTTCCCAGGCACATTCGGCAGCAGTTAATAAGCAGATATACAGGTAGTGCTTGCTCTTTGTTTGGTTAGTAGCATACAAATAATGCTGTTAATTTATTGGCTGTTACTAATCTGTGCTTTATCTCAGGAGATGAACCGCTACCGGTCCTGGTGTGGTCTCCTTTTTGGCTATGACTGGGTCGGTATTCCTCTAGTGTACACACAGGTAAATGCACATGTTAACTTGCACAAGAGCATGTATACTCTATTCAACTTTTTTAGGTATGTAATATGTAATATGTGATAGACATCAGATAGATGTAAAGAGTCTTTTCAGTGGGTGGTAATGTGTTAAGAACATTGTTTCTACAGTATAGATGGGTACAGCCTTATTTGCTCATTACATACTCAGACTTAAGTACTACATGGTGGTATTGCTTCACAGCTTTATTCATTAAGCAAACCTATGAGTTGGCCAACTGAGTCAAATCAATACAGTCTATGTGTGGCATACACAGTATATCTTATCGCCACAGTTGTTAAGAAGGGAGGTAAAGTGACTGCAAATTGAGTGCTGCTCCCTCTAGTGGTTAATCTACAAATTGGTATATAATATATTAACAAAAATATGGAGGACTAAGCATTGTTAATGCTAAAGTCACATAAAAATGACTAAACTATAACAAATACTTCTATAAAAACTAAAAAATATATGCTAACTGGAAATACACTATACTTTTTGTTTAATTGTACAACTGTTTTAAATTGTTAACAGTTAACACAAATCCATGGCACTGTATGCTTTTTAGGTAGTAACTCTTGCGGTATACACTTTCTTCCTCGCCTGTATTATTGGACGTCAGTTCTTAGACCCTAAACAAGCCCATACAGGACATGATTTGGACCTCTACATTCCAGTTTTCACGCTGCTTCAGTTCTTCTTCTATGCAGGCTGGTTAAAGGTGAATTCTCTCTCTTTCTCTGTCTGTCTCTCTTTATACATTATGTATGTTTGTATATCTATATATATATATATAAAATACAAAGGTATTAGAGGTGGTCAGGTGTTCCATGGCCATATGAAAGCACAAGGTTGCTGTATAACTACTTTTATAAGAAGCTTGCCTGTTCAGTGTAATGCCTGATACTGTTTTCATTCTAAAGAAAGGTGGCTGCAATCTACAGCAAGGTTACACCAAGGTTACTAGGTTGCTGTGGTTGTTGCTGGGTTGCTGTTGTTGCTATTGGTGATTGCTTACTAGATGTTGTGAGCAGTGAAGAAATTGTTTATTGCCATCAGAGTTCAATGTGTAGTTAAAAGAATGGTGCAAAGCTGAAGATTTTAGCTATATTAGTTATGATTTTAGCAGGCAGTCTGATAGTAAGCTGTACAAAAGAAATGGTCTGCTTCCCTCACACAAGGTACTCACATACTTAGTATGGAATTTGGGAGTTTTTTTGGACAAGCATTTAAACTTAGAAGTAGGGGCAGAAATTTAATTGAAAGGAACATTTCTGTCTCAGCGAGTATAAAGGGTTTGTGTTTCCATGGACCTGTTGAGGGGTTAGTTAATGCAGTTAAAGATTCTGGTACTAAAAATCTAACAGTAGATAGCAGTTTTTGTCACGTCAAGTGCACCAATGTTCATTGTTTAGGTAACAAGCTTATGTCTAGGGATAACTTGATCTTTGGTGCAAAAAACCTATACCATGGTAAACACAATGCATGAAAGACAGAGTAGGAAAGAGGTGAGGCGTAGTTGCCATTTATGTCAAGAAAAGCATAAAACTAACATGTATTAAAAAACAATGAACTGCTTAAAACTCACTAGGCCTATCTACAAACCAGAGAGGGATCTTTCCTTAGCATTGGTATAGTATTCAGCAGTGGCGTCACAAGGGGGGTGCGGCCCGCACCCGGGTGACACCATTGGACCGAACTCCCGACAATATCAGGAGAGAGGAGGGGACCTGGCGGCATACCTTATCCCGCCAGGTGACTGTCCCCTCCTCTCTCTGCCGGCGTCCCTCACCAAGATGGCCGCCGGCAGGTATCAGAATACTACCGCGTGTGCGCGATGACGTCATCGCACACGCGTGTGGTGACGTCACGCGCATGCGCAGTGACGTCTCGGCGGGGTGACACTCGGTTACCGCTCTTGGTGTCACCAGTAAGATTGGTCCAAGCAGTGGAAACTGCAGTTCAACATTTCTACATGCAAAATAATGCACTTAGGGAAAAAGTACTGTCCAGAACTATGGAGGAAAAAGATGTGTGGTGCTTCACTAGAGGGATCAGCAGCAAGAGGACGAAGGTCCTGATTTTCCCATATTAAGTATTAGTTAGACCTGATTTATAATATTGTGTTCAGTTCTGGAGTCCTCACTTACGAAAAGATATTCATAAGATAGAATGAGTGCACAGACGGGATGGAAAGAAAAAACTCCATGCAGTGGGCATCCCCTGCATTGCCAGGGTTAAATGTTCACTAACTCTAGGAGTAGAAGCAGAGACTGTATTAGTGATCACATTCCTGACTCGGGCAGGCTGGCACTCTCAGCTCCTCCCTGACCCTCCTGGCTGTGGTCAGTCCCTTGGTGTAATCATATACAATGTAGGACTATTAGTCCTGCATTGTATGTAAGGAAGTAGGCATGCGACCGCAGGCTAAATTGCTTTGTGAGACTGGTCACACAGATAAAGGGATCCTGTTGGAGCAAGGAATATTGTACGTATTATACTTTGTTTCTTTACCCCTATATTTTATTTTATTTTTTATACATTTTTTTATTGTTTTACATATTAAGGCACAACGGTGCACGCTATTTGTGTCCAAGCAGGATCCGGAATTGTGTAAAAGTGGGAATGGGGGTTATTCCACAAGGGGGTGTCTGGAGAGATAACTGTAGCAGCCCCAGGACACCAGGCCAACCCCGTGCGCCAGGCCCTGATAGTAGTTCGCATGGATGGAGTGAGAGGGTAGGGGGCTCTCGGTCCTCTATATAGTAGGCCCTTCAGTGCCTCCACCGATTTCAGGATGGCCGCTTCCAACATGACCGAGGAATTGTTTACATCAGCCGAGAGCCACCAGTTGGCCGTGACCAGTTGGGTAGCCAGGAAGTATTTATGGAAGTCCGGGAGTGCCAAGCCTCCCTGGGTAGTGGGGCGCATAAGGGTCGTGAGTTTATACCTCGGGGGCTGAGTCCCCCACAGGAAGGAGGAGATAATTTGATTAATTTGATGAAAATAGGGTTTAGTTAACCATACCGGAGAATTACGAAAAATGTATGTGAATTTGGGCAATATCTTCATTTTAACTAGGTTAATCCTCCCCAAGAGGGATAAAGGTAAGTTCGCCCACGCCTTCAGTCTCTGTCTCATATCACCTAGGAGCGGGAGTATGTTAAGTTTGATAAAATCCTGAGGCATGCCGGATATCACCACCCCCAAGTACCGAAACGAATCCACCCAGGCAAGTTGCGTGACTGTTCTGTGTACAGATCCGGCCTCCACATCAATTGGGAACAGTATTGACTTATGCCAGTTGACCCTGAGACCTGATACCTTCGAGAATGTAGTGAGGACCTCTAGTGCTCCTTGTAACGAGGGTCCCGGAACCATTGAGAAACAAAAGCAGGTCGTCCGTGTACAGCGCCACCCTCTCCTCCAACCATCCGACCCTGAGACCATTACCCCTATATTTAATGAGCCTTTAACCCTTGCACTGTGGAGAGCCCAACTGCATAGGTATGTTTTTTCATGGACATGGAGTTGGGCTTTAAATGCATTAGCGGTGTGAATAAGATTACAGAGGGCAGTATTTTAAATACATAGTTAAGATCAAAAACAAGGAACATGACCTCAAACTAGCAGGTGGAAAGTTCAAAACTAACCTTAGAAAGTATTATTTTACCAAAAGAGTACTTGATGTTTGGAGTCAGTCAACAGTAGGTCAATTGAAAGAAGAACTTTAGGAATATAGAAAATTAACCCTTGCAGTGGGGATACCCCTGCACTGCAAGGGTTAACTGCTCATTATGGTCTAGGGCAGGGGTGTCAAACTCAATTTAATCGTGGGCCGCATCAACATTATGGTTGCCCTCAAAGGTATCTGTAATACTATTTAAATGTAACTAATCTTTATCATAATTGACTCTGGATTCGATTATCACTGGTTTTAGTAATAACATAATACCTAGATCTGAAAGTATAAGTCTAGGAAATGGCCTGGTGGGCCGGATTCGGCCCCTGGGCCTTGAGGTTGACACATGTGGTTTAGGGGCTCAAAAATAAAATATACTCACCTAATCCTGCCTGGTTGCAAGATTGGTCCCTGCAGCCTCTTTTCTGTTAGTCCAAGCACCACTGATGTAATCACATCTAATGCAGGTTAATTTACCGTCGGACAAACCAAAGCTGGAGAGGAAGGGGAGAGAGGTGTGCACTGGGAGAGGAAGGGGAGAGAGGTGTGCACTGACTGTCACAGGACTGAGGATCAGGTGAATATATCTTTAGTATTCTAGATCCTAGACCAAAATGAGCAGTTAACGCTTGCCGTGCAGGGGTAGGCCCACTGCATGGGTTCATGTTTTAAATACCTGGAGTTCCTTTTAAACATGCTTGGGACAAGCATAGTTCTATACTTTTTCTGCTATTTCTCTTCTATGCTTCTGTGTTTCTAATCATACATGTAGCATAGTCCTTAGTATTTACTATGTTGTAACTGTTAACAAGTATAAACTTTGCAAAAATTTGTTTCCGTTGTCTTAAATTTTATTACAGGTGGCTGAGCAGCTAATTAACCCTTTTGGTGAAGATGACGATGATTTTGAAACTAACTGGTGCATAGACCGAAATTTACAGGTTAGGAATTTTCGCATGAGAACAGCTATCTGGGCTGTTCTGAAGTAAAAATACACAGCCTATGTGGTGTTATTTTGGAGCCAGGGGGATGTTACATGGAATGTTATAGGGTTGCATGGACCTGAGGTTTATAAACACTTAACTGATGACAAGACTTACCTGTTAATTTTACCAGTTTATTTATGAAAAGAAGCATGGTCTATAATTGGCTCATGCAGGTTTAATTTCATTTTGTCTAACTTCAGAACAGCACAACACTAGTTTCGACACCAGTTCAAAAAATTGTATTCATCCATATCACAAAACATGGCCAACGTAAATGTCCTTCTCAGTGAATTCACACATTTACATTATTGGTATTATTCCATTGTGCATACATTGCTATTTTTGCTGTATGGATGGAAAAAAAGTTATTTCATTTCCATCAATTCTGGACTGTTCTGCAGTTAATCCATTGCTTGGGGGGCTACTGATGAGCTTTCTCAACCTATTAGAGCATTGAACTTTGCTATTATAAAATTGTTAAGGGTTTGTTCTTAACAACTAGAGATGTGTTCATTAAAGCACAATTTACCTATGTAACATTTGTCGTGCAATGTGTATTGTATCAGTTATGTTTGATAGCCCCTCTACACCTTTTTCCTGGCTTTTTATTTTACAGTGTCCCTCTGGTCCTGCCCGCTTTTTTTATTTTGCTGGGGGCAAGTGTTATTGTGGGTGTAAAGAACAGATGTCAGCTAGAATCACCCTGCCATATTTATAATTGCAAGTCATGCACAATACAGTACTCAGCAATGTCAGCTACCAGTGTATGCAGGGGTGTCTCAACAAAATGTTATCTCTTGCTTTGGAATTCACCAAGATCCTTAGCAATTATCATAGTTATATGTACTAACAAGACCTTTGCTTTTCAGTCTCTGTATGCATATAATAATGAATTGAAACCATGTAAGAGTTGGGATTGTCCAGGGCCACATCTCAATTCTACGGCTGTTTGTGATTTCCAACAACAGAATATCAAGGCATAGTCATTGATGTAAAGCATTCAAGCATGGTGGAACCAAAGTGAAATCTGTTATTTTTACATGTTTTTATCTCCATTCAGATTGGTTTACTCTTGTGTGTGAAGTTAAGGGAATAAAGCTGAGTATTTTTCTGGAGAATAGTTAAGTATGATGTTTTCTCATTAGTTGCAAATGGAAACAGTGCCTTCTTTAAAGGGGTTTAGGTACCCTGGGACCATGTTTATGAGTCGTCTCATTGTGTGGGCAACTGTACCTACAAGAAGGCGCTAAGAGAATGCTGAATCAAACTTTTACACAATTTTCCCCTCAAACTACTTCCTTATCCTTAGCTAAGGTCATGAAATAGATTCCAATATGCATATGAATCTGTAACACTATAAGCTTTATTCTGGGTTTATAAATATATATAAATGGTTTATTGCTTTCAGGTTTCCCTTATGGCTGTGGATGAGATGCACATGAACTTACCAAAAATGAATAAAGACATCTACTGGAATGACTCTGATATGCGACCACCATACACACTTGCAGCTGCTGACTACTGTATTCCTTCATTCATGGGATCAACAGTCCATATGGGGTAACTATCATTTCCACAAAGCAACACAATCACACACAAACATTCCTAAAAAAATCCACATAAACAGTGTATGCCCACCTTCATGGTATTATAAGTCACTCGTTTATACTGACTGTCACCTCATTCTATGTGAAAAGTAATACATTCTTTTGGTGCTTTCTCCACCTGCTGTAGACTGCCTGATTCTGTATTTCTACGTGAGGACTGGCTGCTGGATGAAGAGAAGCACAGAAGACAAAATTCTGTTCTCCGAAGAGTCAAGAGGTTCCTAAGTGTCCATGAGCATCCTGAATCTCCTGTCAGAAGTGCTATCAGTCGACAGGAAAGTGATGCATCAACTATATTTTTTCCTAGCGAAACTAATTACATAGCCAGTTTCCATGATGTTCCACTTAGAAGGCCATATTCTCATGGTATTAAGAGGCATGAATCTATGGATAAAAAGCCTGGCACCCCTAGAAGTGATCTATCAGTTATTCGGGAGGCTAGTACATCAAATATTTCAGAAAGACAACCATCAAGGGTGAACAGTATTACACCAAACTCAGCTTTACATGTCCCTGAAGTGGTGGTTACTACAACATTTGAAACCCCAGTTCAAAATGTTGCCCCACAGCAGTCAAATCCTTCATCTATATCAAATAATGAAGAAAATACTGAATGTGTTCAGAAAAACATTGAGCAACCAAGTTCTGAAATTATTTTTAAACAAGATATTCAGAAACAAGAGTCAGTACAAGTTCCAGTGAATACAGGTGAGGAGAAACTAGAGCAAGTCACTAAAGAACAGCAAATTGCTTACCATGGGTTAAGTGAAACTATATTCCAAACACAAAGTCATTTAACATATTTACAGCCACCAAGGACATCCCTGCACAATATTTCAGTTTCTTTGACTTTAGAAAAGAAAGTGCCTGCTGAAAGCAAAAGTCCTGCTTCAGATAGTCACCTAAATCCAAGTGAAGATTTGCTGGATTTATTGAGCCACATTGACACCAAAGAAACAGACATTGTCGATTATCATGATGAAAAGAATGATGGGAATAAATAAGATAATATACTATGAATCCTAAAAATGTAAACTTGCAGTTCCATAACAAGAGCATCTGCCTAGCAAGAAAAAGACTGTAATAACGCACAAAATATCACAGATATTTTCAGAACTATCTTTGTAGTCAAGCTACTGACATGGTCCTTTCATACTTGTAGTCAACATGGTGCAATTTTTGCTGGAAGCAACACGGTCCATTTTTAAAACACAGTGCTTCTTTCTGATTTCCAAAATATGTCAATGGCAGGGCAGTGACAGAACATTGAATGTACCATCAAATGAGATGCTATCATTGCACTTATTAAGAAGAAGGCTCTCAACTAGTCCTTACTCGCTGAAATATTATTCTTAATTCCACCTCATGGCTTGAACAAAACCACCTGGACCTAATTTTATTTGTTAACACATCTAAGGACACCTATTTTATTTCCTAGCCACCCTCTACTCTGACAGGCTAGCTGGGCAAACACATAGATTGTAGGCCAAAGTAACTCCATGCACCTCCTACTTGTCTGATAAAAGGGCCACTTACAGACTTACATTGGGCATCCGATCGGGTTTGCCTGAAAAACTGACAGGTAGACCTGATCTGACCGGCCGTGTGAAAGGGCCCTTAGCGTAGCAGGGAAGCCGGGGTCTCAGGTAGGCTGTGCAAGGTCTCAGGTGAGCTTTGCGGGGTCTCAGGAGGGCTTGCAGGGTCTCAGGAGGGCTGTGCAGGGTTGATGGTGGGCTGTGTGGGGCCGATGGTGTGCTCTGCAGGGCCAAAGTGGGCTGTGTGGGGTCGATGGTGGGCTGTGCAGAGTCCCTTTCACTGCACACATGTGCTGCTCCTCTTACCTGCAGCCCGAAGTGCCAGCAGTACCAGCAGGACACATTGCAGCCTCCCAGCTTGCCTCCAAGACATCCCACCATCAGATTGCATGCTATGGCCATCCCTGAGCCACCCACTGCTTCCCCTCCACCACCTGTACAAAGCTGGCCAGAACGCATCTCACTGGGCCCCCCTACTCCGCCGGGCAGCTCTCCAATTAGTTGGTCACTCATGGCTGCAGCTGCCTGCTTCTGTGCAGCCCAGCTCCCCTCGGTGCATCGTGCAAGTGCCTAACTGTCTGCCCCACTGGTTTAGGGGTGCCGTTTTTTGATAGTGCCGCCCAATGCAAATGCCTAGTTTGCCTCGCGGTAGATACGCTCCTGAAAGTTACATACCTTGGCACCTGCCATGCAAACAGTCTGACTACCCAAAATAATTAATACTGATATAGTTAATTTGACCTACATACTACTTCAATACGTTATTGTTTGTTGGATATAATGTGAAAGGAAGGTCGAAGGTCATTAAAAACACAGTTAGTACCTTTTAGTCTAGATCTAGAGACTCTCATGGTGACCTACGTGCAGTATATTCAGACAACTTTCAGCACACACATTTCAGTGGGCTCTGTCTTTTGGCTACCCTATCACTTTAGGCTTAGGCGTATGAGACCTGCCCACAAATCTGGATCTGGCAAAAGACCGAATAAGTTTGAATTCCTTTTTGTAAACCAAAGTACTGTATAGTCCTAGCATTAAATTCAATTTATTTATATTTCCTTTTGTTAGTCATACCAAAGTGGCCATGTGAATAAGAGACCCTCAGGTGGATTTTGTGATATGTTTGGTATTGCACATTGATATGTTATTCTCTTATTCTTCTACTCTTTGAGACAGATGTGTGAAAGTGTATAAAGCTGCAACCCACACCCTAAATACGAACAGACCAATTCATCACAGAGATATGTATAAAGTGTCTCACAACTTCATGCATATCTTTTGTAAAACACTCCAATTAAAGGAGAACTATGAGGTGAGTGCTTTCCACTCACCTCATAGTTCTAGCCGACCTGTGACAATGAAACTGTCACAGGTCGGCTCAGTAGATTGGGAGGTGAGCGAACACATACCGGCGTTCACTCACCTCTCGATCATGTCACAGCTCTCTGCCGTGACAGGGGAGGGGCTGGATTCCCCCCTCCCCGAATAAAGGTCAAAAGCAGATACTTAATGTTGGCATGAATGACATTTCATTATTTACACTGAGATTATTAGTAGCATGCAAATTACATGAGAGTCTGTTCATAAACAAATTGCATAGACCCTGTGATGTGTGCAAATGAAAAAGGAGGACTAAGATTTGAATCTTTACCAGTAAAAATGTTTTGTGGACATAGGCCAAAATCAAACCAGGCAAAACAATTAAAGTGTACATCGAGGAAAAGTATTATGGTGAAGTAGTTAACCATCATTGTTAACTACTGGCATCATTGTAGTTAAGTTATTTTCCAACTCCTTTAGTAAAAATCATTGCTAGACAACATTAGCACGTCATCATAACATCATGTTGCTGCCATTTAACGTAATGCCAGCATCACAGGAGTCAGAATTATGTTTACTTAGTACTATGTACAGCACCTTTTATGTTGCATACAGTTGTAAAGAATAGAGCTTCTTGAGGATGGATGATATGGTTTACATATCAGTAAACTTATACAGTGAACCTGCAACATGACTATTGACATGTAAGTATTTATGTATTCTTAAGTAGTTAATAAGTATGGAAGCAGGTCATAACCTCTGAAACTGCAAACTTTGTGGAGTGATTAATCCTCAAGGTTTACAGCAGAATTGCTGAAGTTGTTTAAATTTACATTAGAGATTAGAAGGTTACTGAGTCACTTCCGGGGAGGAGAGAGCAGGGTGAGTGAGCTGATCTGGCTTAGAGAAACAACTTAAAGGAGAACTATGAGATGAGTGATTTCCACTCACCTCATAGTTCTAGCCGACCTGTGACAATCAGACTGTCACAGGTCGGCTCAGTAGATCGGGAGGTGAGCGAACACATACCAGGTTCGCTCACCTCTCGATCCTGTCACGGCTCTCTGCCGTGACAGGGGGAGGGGCTGGATTCCCCTCTCCCCGCTCCGATCTGCCAGCGCTGACTGGCGGAACGGACGGGGGAGGGGGCGGGTACAGCTGGCTCTGCCTCTAGATAGGCAGAGCCAGCTGTCACTCACGCAGCTCTGGGCGGATCCCGTCATCTACGTCGGGATCCGCTCCGGCTGCGACGTCTCAGTATACTGCGAGCTCTAGCTCGCGGTATACTGAGCTTAGGGTAACGGGAGGACGCTAGTTTGTGTCCTCCCGTTACCCTAAGGAGAACTATGGTGAAAAACACTGACCCCATAGTTCTCCTTTAAATGACTTCAGTGCTTCTGTTGTGAGCTTTGAGGATGACTTTCCCTACAGTGCCTGCAGGTACAGAGGTCAATGAGGGCTTGTCTGTAGCTTGGCCACAGCCAGGTTTACTTTAAAGAAAATGTGTGAGCCTAAAGAAGTAAGGGAACTGCCGTTGCTGACTTTTTTAAAATTTGCAGACCTGGGGCAGTTTTTTACTTCACTACCTTGTTAGTCAGACTTGGGGCAATCATGCAGGCAGTGATGTCTGAAAAATCTATACTTCCATCCAGGAGAGTGACACTCTATGGAGTGAAGCCATGACCTGGATGATAGTCCTGGAACCCTCACCCTTGAAAGACAAGTCAGTAATGACCATTCCTTTAATTCTACCCTGACAGATTAGCTTTAGCTAATGGCAATAACCTGCGCAGTCTTCTTTTTGGTGAAGCTGATGTGTTTCTGGCCAGGAGCCATACTGATAAGTGTGGTAGATTCTGGGAACAATAAATGTAGTCACATGATGTCAGTTCCTGTTTGTGTGTGCAACAATAAAATAAATCATTGTTTGCAGGTTTTAAAAATCTGACAGTTTGCTAAATTATCAGTAGTATTGTGATCATTGTGTATTATACTGTATAACTGGTAATTTTGAGGCCTCTAAAATGAACAAACATAGTTTTAACACAAACCCCATTTTGGGGGAAATATGGCCACTGCCAATA